AAGCGTGGCTGTTTGCCCCGGAGCAAACTAACGCGCAGCCGCCGGATCACACGTCCCGCCGACGTCCCATGGTTCAGGGGGAGGTGCCGATCACACCACAATCCTGCGGCGCGGCAAAGAAGTGGCGCGGCGCGATCACAGCAGCAATGGCTAGGCGCCGCTGCCGTGGCAAACGGGGTTGTGGGTTTTTTAAAACCGAAGTGTGCGCATGCGCCGTTGTGTGCGTATGCGCATCCCGTGGAGACTTGGGGGGGGGGAATACCTTTTTGTGACAGGACACGGGCGGGCGCCGGATGCCACGAACTACCACCGGAAACGCGATCAGACGCCCGCCCTTGCCCCGCGGTTTCTGGAAACTAGTACCTTGGAGGTACTTGTTTTTTACGCCGCATCTTCAGCGGGAAGCCTCGGGTTAGCCACGGTAGCTCTACGCTTCCCAGATGTTGCGGTGTGATCGCGCCCGGAAAGTCCGCCTATCTTCCGTCTCTGCAGCATGGCTAATGCTCCGTGTGACCGCAGCCTATGGGAGTCTGAGAACTCCTTTGTCTATAGTCTATAGGAGACTATAGGACAGTGATGGCAAACCTTTTAGAGACCGAGTGCCCAAACTGCAAACCTTTTAGAGACCGAGTGCCCAAACTGCAAACCTTTTAGAGACCGAGTGCCCAAACTGCGACTTTATTTATCGCAAAGTGCCAACACGGCAATTTACGTCTGTGCTGCTCCAACCTTGAGCATGCTGTTTCAAGCGTCAAAGCTCCCTTCGCCAGTGTTTGAATGGACGTCTGCCCATCTGGAAGCTGCATCCTTGTTTCTGGAGCCACGGGCTGATGCTCTTCTCGCTTCCTTTCTTGTCCCCCCTCCCCCCAGAGGTGGCCGGGAGTCAGAGCTCCTGCAGGGAGACCTACGAGCTGGTTGCCCTGGGGACGGGAGACGTTTGCTACGAGGGTTGGATGGAGTTCGATGGCCGGACCCTCCACGATATGCACGGGCTGGTGGTGGCCCGCAGAGCGCTGATGAGGTAAGGCACCCCTGTGGCCTACCCCTGGCCTGCCGGGCGGGTTCCTTCTCCCAGCCTGCCTAAGGAAGGGCAGCTCCGGGAGAAAGGGGAAGGGGAGTCGAGGGGACGTCACTTCTGAGATGATGAGTACCAGGGATGGCTCAGGCTATCTGGATCCCGTCAGATCTCGGAAGCTAAGCAGGGTCGGCCCTGGTTAGTACTTGGATGGGAGACCACCAAGGAAGGCCAGGGTTGCTACGCAGAGGTAGGCAATGGCCAACCACCTCTGTATGTCTTTTGCTCTGACCCGGATAATCCGAGCTAACCTGATCTCGTCAGATCTTGAAAGCTAAGCAGGGTCGGCTCCGGTTAGGTCTTGGATGGGAGACCACCAAGGAAGCCCAGGGTCGCTACGCAGAGGCAGGCAATGGCCAAGAACCTCTGAACGTCTCTTGCCTTGACCTGGATGGCCCAGGGTAGCTCACTCTTGTCAGACTTTGGAAGCTAAGCAGGTTCATCCCTGGTTAGTACTTGGATGGGAGACCACCAAGGAAGGCCAGGGTTGCTACGCAGAGGCAAGCAATGGCCAACCACCTCTGTTCATCTCTGCCCTGACCTGGATAGTCCGAGCTAACCTGATCTCATCAGATCTCAGAAGCTAAGCTAAGAGAAGAGCCAGTTTGGTGTCGTGGTGAAGTGCAGCAACTCTAATCTGGGAGAACTGGGTTCGATTCCCCACTCCTCCGCTTGCACCTGGCTGGATGACCTTGGGCAAGCCGTAGTTCTGATAAGAGCTGTTCTTGAAAAAGAGCAGTTTCTGTCAAGAGCTCTCTCAGCCCCACCGACCTCACAGGGTGTCTGTTGTGGGGAGGGGAAGGGAAAGGAGTTTGTAAGCCACTCTGAGACTCCTTTGGGAAGTGAAGGGCGGGGTATAAATGCAGTCTCTTTCTTCTTCTTTTACCTCACAGGGTGTCTGTTGGGGGGAGGAGGAAAGGAAAGGAGTTTGTAAGCCGCTCTGAGACTCCTTTGGGAAGTGAAGGGGCGGGGGTATAAATCCAAACTCTTCTTCTTTTACCTCACAGGGGTGTCTGTTGTGAGGAGGGGAAGGGAAAGGAGTTTGTCAGCCACTCTGAGACGCCTTCAGGTAGTGAAGGGCGGGGGTATAAATCCAAACTCTTCTTCTTTTACCTCACAGGGGTGTCTGTTGTGGGGAGGGGAAGGGAAAGGAGATTGTCAGCCGCTCTGAGACGCCTTTGGGTAGTAAAGGGCGCGGTATAAATCCAAACTCTTCTTCTTTTACCTCACAGGGGTGTCTGTTGTGAGGAGGGGAAGGGAAAGGAGTTTGTCAGCCGCTCTGAGACGCCTTTGGGTAGTGAAGGGCGGGGTATAAATCCAATCTCTTCTTCTTTTACCTCACAGGGGTGTCTGTTGTGGGGAGGGGAAGGGAAAGGAGTTTGTCAGCCGCTCTGAGACGCCTTCGGGGCAGTGAAGGGCGGGGTATGAATCCAGTCTCTTCTTCTTTTACCTCACAAGGTGTCTGTTGTAGGGAGGAGGAAAGGAAAGGAGTTTGTAAGCCGCTCTGAGACACCTTTGGGAAGTGAAGGGCGGGGTATGAATCCAATCTCTTCTTCTAAGCAGGGTCGGCCTTGTTTAGTCCTTGGGTGGGAGACCACCAAGGAAGTCCGGGGTTGCTATGCAGAGGGAGGCCATGGCCAGCCACCTCTGAACGTCTGTTGACTTGAAAACGCCATGAGGGGTCGCCATGAGGCAGTCGTGTCTTGACGTCACACGATCCTTAGCCTGATCTCGTCAGATCTCTGAAGCTAAGCAAGTTCGGCCCCCCCCTCTTCATCTCTTGGCGGCGTCGGGCATCCGAGAGCCCTCCCGGAGAACCTTGCCCCCACCTCTCCCGCCAGCCCGCCTTCGCTTCTGATCATTTCGTCAATCCCTCCTCAGGTACTTCTACAAGCAGCTGCTCATGTTCTGCAGCAAAGACCCGGCGGCTGTGGAGAAATGCATCTTCTGCCTCACAAAGGACGGGACGCGCTTGGCTCTGAAACCGGGGTTCTTCCTGCATCTCTATCTGACCCGCCGGCCCAGCGGAGCCCTGGCGAACTTCCAGTGAGTGCTGCTGATGGAGCCAGGAGAGAGTTGTGGTGCGGCTGGGAAAAGATGCCGTGAATGGGCTTCAACTGGGAACCCGGGCCCGTTGGAACGGGGGCTGATAGTTAATAGTTATATAGTTAAAAGAGTGGCGGACTCTAATCTGGAGGACTGGGCTTGATGTCCCACTCCTTCACATGCAGCCGCTGGTGTGACCTTGTCACAAGTTCTCTTGAGGGCGGTCGTCGAGAGAGCTCTCTCAGCCCCACCTGCCTCACAGGGTGTCTGTCGTGTGGAGAGGAAGGGAAGGAGAGGAAGGTTTGATTCCCCACTTCTCCACATGCAGCCACTGGTGTGACCTTGGGTCAGTCACAAGTTCTCTCAGACTTGCTAGAGGCAGTTTACCAAGTTCAAACAGTACAATAGATTCATTTTTTAAAAAATAACAAATTATCAATATAAATCCGTTCGCGGGGAGGGCGGGGTAAAAATGCAATAAATGAAAACGAAAATAAATCGAAACAGTCCATTAAGATTACTCACCTACAGTAATTTTGTAAATAAAGCGAATATATATATTTTTGAATGCCCTAGGTCATTAATGCTGCTTTTTTAAAGCTATAAAACAGGCAGTTAGGAATGATCAGGCAGGCTGTTCTTAGGGTAGCTAGATTCGAGACCGAGAGAACCTTGGACGCCAACAAGATCTTGCGGGTAAGAGCTTCCAAGAGGTCCTTTCTGCATTTGCTTGCCACTCCGGATTTTCTCAGTGTCCGAGTCTCCACGGCAAAACAGCACCAAAAAATCCCGGGGCAGCAGCAGCAGGGTGAAACCGAGCTGACCACTGAAGGGAGGTAACGTAATTAAGGGAGATGAGCACCGCAACCCTAGAGTCGGACTCGACTGGCTTTCGAGCAAGGGAACCTTTACCTTTACTTTAGGTCATTAATGCTGCTTTTTTTAAGCGATAAAACAGGCAGTTAGGAATGATTAGGCAGGCTGTTCTTAGGGTCGCTAGATTCGAGACCGAGAGAACCTTGGACGCCAACAAGATCTTGCGGGTAAGAGCTTCCGAGAGGTCCTTTCTGCATTTGCCTGCCACTCCGGATTTTCTCAGTGTTTGAGTCGAGGCAGTTTAAGTCCACGGCAAAACAGCATCCAAAAAACCCGGGGGCAGCAGCAGCAGGGTGAAGCCGGGCTGACCACTGAAGGGAGGTAACGTGATGCAGAACGGGGAGGGGAAAAAATGGAATAAAAATAAAGCTGAATTTGATTTTAGTGCAAAAGACGGTTGCATTTGATTTTGGTGCGTAATTGCTTGGAGGACACCGGGGTAAACATGGGTTAAAAGGAGAGTGCGGGAAGGGAGCCATTTGACTCTCAGAAGCTAAGGTGCTTTGGGACTCAAATCTAGCCGCTCTAAGGCAGACCAGCACAGCTATTTATTTTATCTATTTATTAATTCAATTTATACCCTGCCCTCCCCGCAAGCGGGCTCCAGGCGGCTTACAACGGTGGCACCAATCGCCGATAAAACCATATAAAACATATGAAACAGTAAAAAGGTAAAGGTTCCCTTGCTCGAAAGCCAGTCGAGTCCGATTCTAGGGTTGCGGTGGTCATCTCCGTTTCAAAGCCGAAGAGCCAGCGCTGTCCGAAGACGTCTCCATGGTCATGTGGCCGGCATGACTAAACACCGAGGCGCACGGAACGCTGTTGCCTTCCCACCGAAGTGGTACCTATTTATCTACTTGCAGTGTCTAGCTTTTGAACTGCTAGGTTGGCAGGAGCTGGAACTAGAGACGGGAGCTCACTCTGTCATGCGGCACACTCGGGTCTCGAACTGTTGAACTACTGGTCTTCCACAGCCTGCAGTTCAGCGTCTTAACAGCTGAGGGCCGGGCTCGTTGATGGTGATAGCGGGGGCGGCTCCTAGTTGAAGGCCTGGTGGAAGAGCTCCGTCTTGCAGGCCCTGCGGAACTGTAAAAGATCCCGCAGGGCCCTGATCTCTTCTGGGAGCTCGTTCCACCAGTATGGAGCCGCCACTGAAAAGGCCCTGGCCCTCGTTGCAACGAGCCTGGCATCCTTGGGGCCAGGGAGGGTCAACTGGTTCTGTGACCCCGACTGCAGTGCTCTCTGGGGTATATGTGGGGAAAGGTGGTCCCCTCAGGTATGTCGGACCCTGGCCATATAGGGCTTTAAAGGTGAGCACCAGCACATTCGGTATGCTATTGGCAGCCAGTGCAGGGCCTTCAGCACAGGCCGGATGTGGTCCCATCTAGATATGCCCATCAGTGGCCTAGCCGCGGCATTCTGCTACCTTCCGAAACTGTTCTTAGGGTACAGAAGAGAAGAGGTTCTTTATTAATCCGGCTTCTTTTCTCCCCATAACACACACACCCCACCAACTTTCTTTCCCGGCTCTCCAACTCATTAGCAAGTCCCTTCCATTTTGGTGTAGTGGTGAAGTGCACGGACTCTAATCCGGGAGAACCGGGTTCGATTCCCCACTCCTCCACTTGCACCTGGCTGGATGACCTCGGGCAAGCCACAGTTCTGATAAGAGCTGTCCTTGAAAAAGCCGTTTCTGTCAGAGCTCTCTCAGCCCCACCGACCTCACAGGGTGTCTGTTGTGGGGAGGGGAAGGAAAAAGGGGTTTGGAAGCCACTCTGAGACTCCTTCGGGGAGTGAAGGGCGGGGTATCAATCCAATCTCTTCTTCTTCTCTTCTTCTTCTCCTGCAGGGTCACGACATTACAGCCAAATATGCCTGTTGAGGTCTACATCAGCGTGAAAGGCACGCTGAGACCCATTGCCTACTGCCGTCCCAGCACTCTGGCCGCCTGCGTCTACTGCGTGTCCGGCAGCGACAAGCTGACCCGCTGGACCATCTTGGGTGTCCAGGGGGCTCTCTTGAGCCACGTCATCCACCCGGTCTACATCACCAGCATCGTCCTGGGTGAGTAACTGACGACTGCAGAGCCTTCTTTGAGGGGCCCGGCACAAGGCCGACGGGCAGGCGTGCTCTCCAGAGTAAGGAAACGTTTCTTCAGAATGGGAAGCCATCTATCCTTAAATTCAATATTGTGGGGAAACAGGCTGGTGTTTTTCCTCATCGTCAAACCCCTCGGGATGATCTCATTTCTCAAATAATCCCTTAAAGGGCCTGCGCGTGTACCAATGTTCATTTCCCCCGAAATTCGAATGTTCAGACTTCGTGCTCTCCAAATGAAGAAAACAATTCTTCAGCATTGGGAAACCCATCTCTCTGTAAATTCAACATTTGGAAAACAGGCTTGGTTTCATCACCCCTCAGGGTGAGCTCATTTCCCAAACAACCCCTTAAAGCGCCTGCAAGTGTACCAATTTTCATTTTCTTGAAATTCAAATTTTCAAACTTATCCTACGGAAACGTCTTCGGACAGCGCTGGCTCTTCGGCTTGGAAATGGAGATGAGCACCGCAACCCTAGAGTCGGATTCGACTGGCTTTCGAGCAAGGGAGACCTTTACCTTTACCTTTACAGCTATCTGAAGGTCCCTTTAGATAAAAAAAAACGAAGGTTGCTCCAATAACGAGACTATCTGGGGATGTTCCGTCTGGAGAAGAGGAGGTTGAGGGGGGACAGGATGGCTCTCTTGAACTCTTTGACGGGCCATCACTTGGAGGAGGGCAGGGAGCTGTTCCTGTTGGCAGCAGAGGAGAGGACTCGCAAGAATGGGTTTTAAATTAAGGGCGGGAAGGGACTGGCTGGATATTAGGGGAAACTTTTTTTGACAGTCAGAGTTGTGCAACAGTGGAATCAGCTGCCTGGGGAGGTGGTGAGCTCCCTCTCCCTGGCCGTCTTTAAACAGCGGCTGGACAAACACTTTGTCAGGGATGCTCTAGGCTGATCCTGCATTGAGCAGGGGGTTGGACTGGATGGCCTCTGTATAGCCCCTTCCAGCTCTTCTGATTCTATGATAGCCCAAAGTCTATGTGAGCCATAATCAATGCTTCCTCTAAGCTGTGGAGTCTCGTGAGCAAAAATTCTCCTTTGTGAGCTATGGCACTAAAGTTGTGAGCGAGCGATTTGGCTACTGCATAACTTAGTTTGCTCTGGAGCCCTCCTTCCTGAGCGGAGACAAAAAATGTGTGAGCCGGAGGCTAAAGAACTGTGAGCTAGCTCACACAAACTCAAGGAACACTGGCCATAATGTGTGGCAGCCACTGTTCCCAGTTATGAACACAACAAAAGACGAAGGAAGGTGGTGGTGGTGGTGTTGAGACTTAACCCAAAACGAATGGAATTAAAAACCAAAAGATTAAGGAAATCAAAATGTTTGTTGTTATTCAGTCGCACAGTCGAGTCCGACTCTTCGCAAACCCATGGGCCACATCACGCCAGGCCCTCCATCTTCCGTCGTGCTCCGGAGTTTGCTTAATTTCATGCTCGTTGCCTCGATAACACTGTCTAACCATCTCATCCTTTGCCCTCCCCGTCTTCTTTGACCTTCAAACTTTCCCAGCATCAGGGTCTTCTTCTCCAGTGAGTGCTCCCTTCTCATTTGGTGGCCAAAGTCTTTGAGCTTCAGTTTCATTATCTGGCCTTCCAGGGAACAGTCAGGGTTGATTTCTTTTAGGATTGACTGATCTGATCTCCTTGCAGTCCAAGGGACTCTCAAGAGTTTGCTTTGACCATGCGGACTTTTGTTGGCAGGGTGATGTCTCTACTTTTTATTATGCTGTCTAGGTTGGCCATCGCTTTCCTCCCAAGGAGCAGGCGTCTTTTAATTTCATGGCTGCGGTCACTGTCTGCAGTGATCTTGGATCCCAGGAACGTGAAGTCTGTCACTACTTCCACGACTTCCTCTTCTATTTGCCAAGGAGTGATGGGGCCGGATGCCATGATCTTAGTTTTTTTGATGTTGAGTTTCAAGCCAACCTTTGCGCTCTCCTCTTTTACCCTGAGCAAGAGGCTCTTCAGGTCCTCTTCACTTTTTGCCGTTAGAGCGGTATCGTCTGCATATCTGAGGTTGTTGATGTTTTCCCCAGCAATCTTAATTAATTCAAAATATAAGGGCCCACTAGTTCTCTGTCTAAACCTGAAGCATAAATATTACCAATGATCCAAAAATATAAAAGTATTTATTACATATTCAATAAAAACAAATAAATATAGACCCAAGTAATAGCCTCAGTTTAGAATAAAATCATACATTGAGCCCAAAGATAGAAGAAGAGAAGAGATTGGATTTATACCCCGCCCTTCACTACCTGAAGGAGTCTCAGAGCGGCTTACAAACTCCTTTCCCTTCCCCTCCCCACAACAGACACCCTGTGAGCAGTGTTCCCCCTAAGCTGAGTCAGTGTGAGCTAGCTCACAGTTTTCTAGCCTCCGGCTCACCAATTTTTGTCTTAGCTCAGGAAGGATGGCTCCAGAGCAAACTAATTTATGCAGTAAACAAATCACTCACTCACAACTTTAATGCCAGTAGCTCACAGAGTAGAATTGTTGCTCTCAAGACACCACATCTTAAAGGGAACATTGCCTGTGAGGTCGGTGGGGCTGAGAGAGCTCTGAGAGGAACTGCTCTTTTTCAAGAACAGCTCTTATCAGAACTACGGCTTGCCCAAGGTCTTCCAGCAGGTGCAAGTGGAGGAGTGGGGAATCAAACCCGGTTCTCCCAGATTAGAGTCCGCGCACTTCACCACGACACCAAAATGGTCAATAATAGACCATCATTGAGCCTGACCAAACGCGCTTCGGCCAGTTGGCCTTCCTCAGTGGTCAAACAATGTTGTTACGAGATGGCTCCAGATCCAGGGTGTGGATCTGCAGAGCGTTTGCCGCTTTGCCGCTCGTCAGCCGGGGGGGGACGGGGACCTGTGTCTGTGCCTCGTTTCTCCTTGTGAGCCCGCTTGAGCGCCTCCCCAGAGCCCACGACCGGAAGGGCTATAGGTTGCTCATCGGGGTTCTATTTATTTCCTCCCAGCCCCTTCCGGCTCCTCTGCTCTGCCTCCGGCCCATGTTGACCCTCTTCTCTGTTTTGCGTTTCAGCCGACGCCTACCAAGACATCGCCGTCCTCCACCAGGTCATCAACGGCCGGCTGCAGCTAGCCCAGGAGAGCCTGCCGGAGCCGTACCGCCAGAGCCCCGTGCACCTCTTCGAAGGCCCCGGAGTCGCCCCTCTCAACGTGTCGCCTATATGCCACTCCTGGAGCTTCAACTGGTGCGGTGGAGACGAAGCGCTGGAACTCGTGAACGGGGCGGTCGGGAAGGCCGCGCGGGAGTAAGTCCCCGGTGGGGTGCAGGCCGCCTGCCGTCTCTCCGCGCGTTGCTTTGCTCTTTGGTTCACTGCAAGCACAGTCACCCGCAATGTTCCCTCTAAGCCGTGGAGTCTTGTGAGCAAAAATCCTACTTTGTGAGCTACCGGGCATTAAAGTTGTGAGCGAGCGATTTGGCTACTCCTTCCTGAGTGGAGGCAACAATGTGTGAGCCGGAGACTAAAAAACTGTGAGCTGGCTCACACTAACTCAGCTTAGAGGGAACACTGGTCACCGGGACCAGGGTGGGTGTCGGCATCCATTGAGGTGGGGGAAATCCCGGGGCTCCTGGCAGGGCCCGCTGCTGCCGACTTCCCCTCCCTCGCTTCTCGGCCAGCACTCCACTAGGTTCCCAGGACCGCGGTGGCTCGGAGGTTAAGAAGCTGAGCTGCAGACCAGGAGGCTGGTAGTTCGGCAGTTCGAGACCCGTGTGCCGCGCGACGGAGTGAGCTCCCGGCTCCTGCCAACCTAGCCGTTCGAAAGCAAGAAACTGCAAGTCGATAAATAGGTGGGGAGGTCACAGCGTTTCGTGTGCCTCGGCGTCTCGTCCCCAGAGAGCACTACGGTCAGGGTTGGCAGGGAATTCGACACTTTAATGATGGTCTGGGCCTGGCTGGGGCGATGGCACGCGTGCCCACAGAGAGGGCTCTGAGTGCCACCTCTGGCACCCGTGCCAGAGGTTTGCCACCACTGTTCTAGGCTCATCCTGCATTGAGCGGGGGGGTAGACTAGATGGCCTCTGTATAGGCCCTTCCAGCTCTTGTGATTCTATGATTCGATGTGTGATTTGACACACACACGCCCCACCTCCCCAAAACATAACAATCTTTGTGGGGGGGCTGAAAGACTCACTTTGGCTTCGTGGTACGTGGGCAGGGAGGCTAGGTCCTCTCTCTTCATCTCCTTCGCCACTTTCCTGAAGAACTTCAGCATAGCTGCCTTGCAAAGCCGACTGGGGCGGCAGAAGTCGTCCACGTTCATGATGCTGACGGAGGCAAGCGAGAGGGATTCCGTCGCAGGAAATCAGAGAGGATCCGTGACGAGTGAGCCACAGAACAGAACGGTCTCCCCCCACCAAAGCCTCCCAAGCGTTACTTAAAGGTAAAGGTTCCCTTCCTCGAAAGCCAGTCGAATCCGACTCTAGGGATGCAGTGCTCATCTCCGTTTCAAAGCCGAAGAGCCAGCGCTGTCCGAAGACGTTTCCGTGGTCATGTGGCTGGCATGGCTAAACACCAAGGCACACGGAACACTGTTCCCTTCCCACCGAAGTGGTACCTATCCATCTACTTGCAATGTCTTGCTTTCGAACTGCTAGGTTGGCAGGAGCTGGAACTAGAGACGGGAGCTCACTCCATCATGCGGCACCCGGGTCTCGAACTGCTGAACTACCGACCTTCCACAGCCTGCAGTTCAGCGTCTTAGGCCTGGTTTAAAGGTGACGCTGGCCTAAGAGGATTAAATCGTGAGGGTTCTTCGCTTGCCCAAGGTCATCCAGCAGATGCAAGTGGAGGAGTGGGGAATCGAACCCGGTTCTCCCAGATTAGAGTCCGCGCACTTTAACCACAACACCAAATAGTCAGGGCCGGGGTGAAAAGGGAGACCAGACAGGACTCCCAAGTCGCTGTGGAAGCTGGCACCCTTCCTAACTCTCTGCCTCCCCCCCAAAAAACCCCAATCCAATCACAAACCTGAAATAAAATCTGACACCGAGAAGTTTTGGGTTTTTTTAAAAAGTATAGCTAAACAGATATCATGTTTGTGGAGTCCTTGACCATCTCCCGTTTAAGCTGTCTAGGAAAACAGCAAAAGGACACCGTTTCTCAGAAGACGGACTATAAAAGCGCCCTGCGTCGACTTTGCAGCGGGTGTCGCAGCTGCTCGGCCATCCGTCTGATCTATCCGCACGCAGACGGTGCTCGCAGGGGAAAAGCGCTCTGTGCAGAAACAGATTCCGCTTTTGCAAGAAGTCCCGCACTCACACTTTTGTCACTC